AACCACCATTCTACTTTGCTTTGTGAATTTGACTACACTAGATACTTTGTATGAGTGGAAGCATATAATATGTGTCTTTTTGCAACTGGTTTATTTCCCTAGTATAATGTCCTCTTGGTTCATCCATGTTGTTGCATGTGTCAACATTTCCTTCCTTTTTTTTTTTTTTTTTTTTTTTTTTTGAGACAGAGTTTTGCTCTTGTTGCCCAGGCTGGAGTGCAGTGGTGCGATCTCAGCTCACCGCAACCTCTACCTTCTGGGTTCAAGCCATTCTCCTGCCTCAGCCTTCCAACTAGCTGGGATTACAGGCATGTGCCACCACGCCCAGCTAATTTTGTATTTTTAGTAGAGATGGGGTTTCTCCATGTTGGTCAGGTTGTTCTTGAACTCCCGACCTCAGGTGATCCACCTGCCTCGGCCTCCCAAAGTGCTGGGATTACGGGCGTGAGCCACCACGCCTGGCCTTCTTTCCTTTTAAATGGACTGTGATGGTTGGTTATGGTTGTGCATTTCTGTGAATATACTAAAAACCATTGAATTGTAACACTTTAAGTGGGTGAATTATATGGCATATGAATGATATCATAATTAAGCTGTTTAGGGGGAAAAAAGGGGAATTTGTTAGCAAGATACAGACTCACATAATTCAGAGACAGGGACTGGGCCTGCTTTATGCTGACGGGCCTGGGACTCTGGCCCAGAGCAGGGGTCCTCACCATGAGTCAAAACCCTAATCTGTAGCATCAGCACCACCTGGGAACTCCTTAGAAGGGCCTTGTGACTCAGAAACTCTAGTGCCGGGACTCAGCAAACTGTGGGGTTTTTCTTCTTTTTTTTTTCCTTTGAGACAGAGTCTCGCCCTATCGCCCAGGCTGGAGTGTAACGACCCAATATCAGCTCACTGCAACCTCCTCTGTCTCCTGTGTTCAAGTGATTCCCCTGCCTCAGCCTCCCAAGTAGCTGCGAGTACAGGTGCCTGTTACCACACCCAACTAATTTTTGTATTTTTAGTAGAGACCAGGTTTTGCCATGTTGGCCAGGCTGGTCTCGAACTTCCCACCTCAGGTGATCTACCCATCTCGGCCTCACAAAACACTAGGATTACAGGTGTGAGCCACCGACTCAGTTTAGCAATCTGTGTTTTGACAAACTCTCTAGGTGCTGGTGATGGAGGCTCATGTTTGAGAATCCCTGGCCTAGACCACCTCTGGAAAACAGGGAAAGTTTCCATCTCACCTCTGGTCTGCCTGTGCGTTTCCTCTCTTGATGCAGATAAGCTGTCTTCACTGACCATTCACTTTCACATTCCTGCAAAAGTCTTCATGGTAGAAACAGCCACCACAATGCCTAAGTTGAAATCTCTTTTGGGGCTGGGCACAGTGGCTCACGCCTGTAATCCCAGCACTTTGGGAGGTTGAGGTGGGCAGCTCACTTGAAGCCAGGAGTTTGAAACCGGCCTGACCAACATGGTGAAACCTCATCTCTACTGAAAATACAAAAATTAGCTGGGCATGGTGGCAGATGCCTGTAATCCCAGCTACTCGGGAGGATGAGGCAGAATCACTTGAACCCGGGAGGCAAAGGCTGCAGTGAGCTGAGATCACGCCACTGCACTCCAGACTGGGTAACAGAGCGAGACTCCATCTCAAAAAAAAAAAAAAAAAAAAAAAGGGGAAATCTCTTTTGGAGCACAAGCTAACCTGAGATGGGCATCCAGTTCCAGTTGCAGGTTCCCAGGGAAGAACTCAGGTGATCCGGCTTGCATCAGCAACCTCCTCCAGGCTTTTCCTGGTATATCCCTCAATGAAGGAAGGCTGGGCTGGTAAGGTATAGTTAGTTCCCAGAAAAGGCATGAGGGAAACAGAAAAAAAATAATAATTTTTTTTCTGGCAATAGAGGAAAATCTAGGGTAACCAATCATCTGTGTTTGCCTAGGACTTTTCTGGGTTTGGCACTGAAAATCCTGTGTCCTGGGAAACCCCCAGTCCTGAGGAAATGACAATTGGTCACACAAGAACTGAAAAGCTGGCCAGATGTGGTGGTTTACACCTGTAATCCCAGAAATTTGGGAGGCCGAGGTGGGTGGATCACTTGAGGTCAGGAATTTGAGATCAGCCTGGCCAAGATGAAAAATCCCCGTCTCTACTAAAAATACAAAAATTAACCAAGCATCTATCGTGGCGGGCACCTGTAGTCCCAGCTGCTCCAGAGGCTAAGGCAGGAGAATCACTTGAACCCAGGAAGCAGACAGAGGCTGCAGTGAGCTGAGATCATGCCACTGCACTCCAACCTGGGCAACAGAGAAAGACTCCATCTCAAAAAAAAAAAAAAAAAAAAAAAAGATAGAGAGAGAGAGAATCAGAGCAACAGAGAGGAATTAGTCCTGAAAGTTGGAGTCTTAGAAGGTAAAGGATTTGGGCATTGGAGAAAGAGGGAAATTGGAATGTTGGAGGCTGTAGAGAGATCTAGAAGGCTGGAGGACAATGATGAGAGCTTTGAGTTTGTTCAGGGAAAGAGGCTCTGGGGTCTAAATGCAGTGGTGTGGAACCAGAGCAGGTATGTCCTCAGTACCCACTAAGCAGAGTGACAGGGAAGTGGGGAGTTATGAGTGGATGTAAATATCTAAATTCTTCAGGAAGTAAGAGCTGGCTGGCAGGCAGTGTGGCCCCAGGAAGCAGGGAGCCACAGGCAGCGTGATAATGTGACGTGGTCTAGGTAGGGTGCTTGGCTGGTGGGGTAGCCGAGCCTTTGTCTTGTTTCCTGACTTGGTAACTCATTAAATACACAATTCCTCCAGTGTTTCAAAGGGCTATTGGTTTTTGGTAAAAATCTCTAAATTATTTCCTTTTTTGTTTTTTGAGACAGAGTTTCGCTCTTGTCACTCATGCTGGAGGGCAGTGGCAGGATCTTGGCTCACTGCAACCTCCTCTTCCCGGGTTCAAGTGATTCTCTAGTGTCAGCCTCCCGAATACCTGGGATTACAGGCTCCCGCCACTATGACTGGGTAATTTTTGTATTTTTAGTAGAGATGGGATTTCACCATGTTGGCCATGCTGGCCTCAAACTCCTGGCCTCAAGTGATCCACCTGCTTTGGCTTCCCAAAGTGCTGGGATTACAGGTGTGAGCCACGGTGCCCAGACTCTGTGAATTATTTCTAAATAAGACCAGAAGTGACTGACTCCACGTATTTGTAAAACAGTGTTTAATCACTTATAGTTGTTTACAGTGAACCAATTCCAAGGCACTGTCACATTATCTGTTCTCCTGTGTGTCGGATGGGTAGGCATTATGAACACCGCACCACGAAGCCCTGCTTTTTTTTTTTTTTTTTTTGGAGGGGGCATCTAACTCTGCCACCCAGGCTGAAGTACAGTGGCGTGATCACAGCTCAGCTCACTGAAGCCTTGACCTCCCAGGCTCCAGGATCCTCCCACCTCAGCCTCCAGAGTAGCTGGGACTATAGGCTCGTGCCATGTCACCTGGCTAATTTTTTTATTTTTTGCAGAGATGGGGTCTCACTATGTTGCCCAGGCTGGTCTTGAAGTCTTGGGCTCAAGCCATCCTCCCACCTTGGCCTCCCCATGTGCAGGGATTACAAGTGTGAGTCCCTGTTTCCGGTTCCCCTTTTTGTAGGGGAAGCCAGCTTAGGAAGGCAGTTATTTGGCTGGAAAGAAATGGTGTTGGGATTGGCACCAATGAGTCTGGTTTTTAGGACACCTCTCTTTCTAGTGCTGTATGAGAGAGTCACTTTTCACCTCACGGTCAGCGGTGCTTTTTGTATTTGTGAGGGGAGATCATTCATCCATCAGCCTGGCTGTCCAGCAGTTCGGCCAGATCACACCAGCACCAATGCCTTGCTCACCACCCTGAAGTATAGGTGTTGTTTTATTCTTATTTTTTTGAGATGGAGTTTCGCTCTTGTTACCCAGGCTGGAGTGCAATGGCGCGATCTCGGCTCACCGCAACCTCCGCCTCCTGGGTTCAGGCAATTCTCCTGCCTCAGCCTCCTGAGTAGCTGGGATTACAGGCACACGCCACCATGCCCAGCTAATTTTTTGTAATTTTAGTAGAGACGGGGTTTCACCATGTTGACCAGGATGGTCTCGATCTCTTGACCTCGTGATCCACCCACCTCGGCCTCCCAAAGTGCTGGGATTACAGGCTTGAGCCACCGCGCCCGGCCCACCCTGAAGTATTAATAATACTGGGCTGAGTATCAGTAAACTGGATACAATATGAATTATACAAATTAAGCTTTTGGGGTGAAAGCTACATTCCCCCCTCCTCTGCACCTGGATTCCAAAGAGAAAACCGACGAGGAAAGACTTTGAGTGTGATAAGAGAGATGAGGTCAGAGGTAGTTTGGTGCTCCCTTTACTGAATTAGGAATGTTTTTTTTTCTATTCTCTTTCCCTGGTGTTCTCTGTATCCTATTTCTTTTTCTGAAATGAATTTCACTCTGTTTATGTTCAGAAAACCGCATAGCTACTTAGTACTTTCCCACCCCAGCATTTCACAACTGTCTCTCAGAAAATCTTTGAGCAAGGCTCCTTTTGGCTGTAGGCAGTTAACTGGTGCTCTCAAGATTCATGGAAGTTCAAGATCTGTAAAGTCAAAAAATCATAAGTCGGGAACCTTCTGTACCTCTAAGTAAGGACATTTTCCTGTATAACCACAATATCATTATTATACGTAACAAAATTAATGAGAGTTCTTCCTGCTTGATTTTCAATGGCTGCCTACTATCCAATGCATGCATATATCCTAAAGTTATTGATGGACATCAAAATGCCTGTTGATGGACATTGAAGATATTTCTACTTTTTCATTAGGGGAAACCACTCTAAGATGAACATTCTTATGCATACATCCTTTTATCCTGTAAGAGTCCCGTTACTACCTGAGAAAATTGTGACTGCTTGTTTTCCTGGCAGGGAGCTGTGAAATCCAATTCAAAGGCATTGTCTTTTAAAAAATAATATTTCTTTTCTTTTTTTCACATCAGGCAGGTAATGTGCAGATGTGGTAACAAGTTTGGAGGGAGGTACGTCTCACACATACACGTGAAATTCCCATTATTATGCTTGTCAACTACAAGAGGATCAAGGTATTGTCTTTCAGTAAAGCATAACATATCAACATATCTCTGTCCCTGATGCAGTCAGCATGGCTTTGCCTGAACTTTTACTACAGTCTGTGTGCCAAAGAAGACTGATGTTATCGGATTTTTCTGGACAAGGACGAGCGCCTTCTACTAACTCTCCAAGGCCAGTGGGCATGATGGCAGACGCTATGGACTGAGTTGTGTACCCCCAAAATTCATATGTTGATGTCCTAGCCCCCAATGTGACTGTATCCAGACATAATGTCTTTAGGAGGTAATTAAGGTCAAATGAGGTCATAAGGTAGAGCCCTAATCCAAGAGGATTGTGGCCTTACAAGAAGAGGAGCAACAAAGTGGTCACCTGCAAGTCAGACACAGGGTCCCTGTAGAACCTGATCAGGCTGGTACCCTCATCTTGAATTTCCAGCCTCCAACACTGTGAGAAAATAAATTTCTCTTCTTCAAGCTGGTATTTTGTTATGGTAGGTCGAGCTGACTAAGATTTTGATGAAGTCTGACCAGAATTTTCGGTGGAGGTGACAGAAACTTAATTTGAATTAGCTTAAGAAAAAAAGAATATTTCTTCAAAGAACTCTAGGAAAGAAAAGGCTGGGTATTGAAGTAAAACCACTGGCCTCTGCCACGCTGTCTTTGTAACTTCTCCCCAAAGTGCAGTGGCTCACTTTACCCTGAAGTTGGAGGATAATGTGGGGTGGGGTGGGGTGGGTGTCAAAGGGAGAGAAGAGAATTGACGAGGCCTCTATAGGGCCACAACCTATGCTTATTACTGTATCTTGAAGTTCACCACAAATTTTCTTTTATTTTGCTTGGGGGGAACAGAATCTTGCTCTGTTGCCCAGGCTGGAGCGCAGTGCCGCGATCTTGGCTCACCGCGACCTCCGCCTCCTGGGTTCAAGTGATTCTCCTGCTTCAGCCTACCGAGTAGCTGGAATTATAGGCGCACACCACCACACCTGGCTAATTTTTGTATTTTTAGTAGAGATGAGGTTTCACCATGTTGGTCAGGCTGGTCTTGAAAGCTTCATCCTCACATCCTTCCCTATTTCCATAAAGGCCGTTTCTTCCTTTAGGTTCCATATCTCAAAGGCCTGGATTCTCTTCCCTCTCATCATACCTTGCATCTCAAATAATCACCATTTCAAGATTCATCCCCCTAAGTTCATAAGTACGTCTGTATCTCCATGCCCACTGCCAACACTTTACTCCAGGCTACGTTCACTCCTCACCACGATTATTGCAATCATTTCTTATTTCTGTTCTTGCCACCCTCCCAGCTCAAGCCATTTCATGTTGAAGCTAGAATAGTTTTTTTTTTTTAAGACTAAGGAACTGGGCTGGGCGCGGTGGCTCACGCCTGTAATCCCAGTACTTTGGGAGGCCAAGGCGGGTGGATCACGAGGTCAAGAGATCGAGACCATCCTGGTCAACATGGTGAAACCCCATCTCTACTAAAAATACAAAATATCAGCTGGGCATGGTGGTGTGTGCCTGTAATCCCAGCTACTCAGGAGGCTGAAGCAGGAGAATTGCCTGACCCCAGGAGGCGGAGGTTGCAGTGAGCCGAGATCGCGCCATTGCACTCCAGCCTGGGTAACAAGAGCGAAACTCCATCTCAAAAAAAAAAAAAAAAAAACTAGGGAACTAAGAAACATGTTCCTTAAGACATTCGTTAAGCACCCACTATGTATCAGGTAATGGTGGGAGGTCACAAAGACGGGTAAAACACTGTTTAGCTTCATTTCTTACTCCTACCCAACGCCAACTCTATGCTTCACCTAGTTTCAGTCTTCAGAACATAATTTTTTCCCTTGCCTCTAGGCTTTCATATTGTTGCTTCTGCCTACAATATTTAACTCTTTGCCTAATTGCTTCCTATTTATCCATCAGTCTGGTCTCAGTGTAGACATAATTTCTCCAGATGGTGTTCCCAATCTCTCTACTCTGGGTTAGGTATCACCTCTACCTTTTTTTCCTCCCCCCAGTTGTTAGCTAAATATCCAAGTGGTGTTTTAATAATCCCTAACCATAGAACTTTTTTTTTTTTTTTTTTTGAGACAGAGTCTTGCTCTGTCGCCTAGGCTAAAGTGCAGTGGCACGATTTTGGCTCACAGCAACCTCTGCCTCCCGGGTTCAAGCGATTCTCCTGCCTCAGCCTCCTGAGCACCCAGCCCATAGAACTTTTAAAAATAAGTTTTGGTTGGGCACAGTGGTTCATACCTGTAATCCCAGCACTTTGGGAGGCCGAGGCGGGTGGATCACTTGCCGTCAGGAGTTCGAGACCAGCCTGGCTGACACGGTGCAACCCCATCTCTACTAAAAATACAAGAATCAGCTGGGTGTGATTGTGAGTGCCTGTAATCCCAGCAATGCAGGAGGCTGAGGCCTGAGAAGCACTTGAACCCAGGAGGTGGAGGTTGGAGTGAGCTGAGATTGTGCCATTGTACTCTAGAGTGACTCTAGGGCAACAGAGTGACAATCCATCTCAAAACAAAAAAATAAAACACACACACAAACAAAACCCAAAAAATGGAGTTGTCTTTTCATTGTTGAACTGTAAGAGTTCTTTATATATTCTGGATACTAATCAGTTATTAGATATGTGATTTGCACATTCCCCCCCTGTTGTGGACTATCACTTCACTTTCTTGACAGTGTCCTTTCATACACAGAAAAAAATTTGTTTTGAGATATGATCTCTCACTCTGTTTCCCAGGCTGGAGTGCAGTGGCACAATCTCTGCTCACAGCAACCCCCACCTCCTGGGCCAAAGCAATACTTCCACCTCAGCCTCCCAAGTAGCTGGGATTACAGGCACCCACCACCACGCCTCCACTAATTTTTTTGTATTTCTTTGTAGAGATGAGGTCTCATTTTGTTGCCCAGGCAGACTGGTCTTGAACTCCCGGCCTCAGGCAATCCTCTTGCTTCGGCCTCCCAAAATGCTGGGATTACAGTTGTGAGCCATCAACCCCAGCACTAAATCTTTTTTTAAATGAATGATTACGTAACTAAAATATCAAGTTTCTTTTTTCTGTCTAAAATGATATCAACTCTGTGCAGTAACACTGTTTCCATTATGGTATTGGCAGTTAAAAAGTCCTTGACTAACAATTCAGAAGCAAATGAACACACAAGATGATAGGGATTGTGTGATTTAACAGCTTTTGGAGCAACACGGATCTGGATTCAAATCCTAGCTTTCATTTAAGAACTGTATCCTCGGGCAAATTACATTACCTATTTCTCTTTCTTTAAAATGGTGTTTTTTGTTTTTTAAGTGCCAGGTGATTATTCCCTCACATGTGAGGTGGCTCACATACACAATACACACAGTACACACAGGCATTGGCATCGTGGGAGAGGGCAGCACCCCTGGCTTCTGAGGGGAGGATTGGCTTCACAATGTAAGAAGGGAGAGGATGATTTCTCTCTCATCCCCTCACTAAGGCCTAGGAGACCCATACCCGTTTCACCTCTCAGCCAAGTAGATGTCACCTTGGTGACATTTAGTTCCAACCATTATAGTAAGTGGAGAAGGGAGTGGCCTGGTTCCAACCATTACAGGGTGAAGATATAAATAGTAAAGAAGGTACAGTTTGGATGAAGCCATAAGAGGGGGCAGATGATACCAGCAGTAGCATGTGCAGGGCAGGGGCAGTTACTGGGCTTCTGGGCTGCTTAGTCCCTAGCTTGGCAGGAAGGGTAGGAAAGATGGATGGTTCTCATTGTTTGGCATTGCTGATGTCCATGAATTCTGGCTTGAGGGAAGCACCACCCCTGAGGAGGCCATCCACGCCAGGCTGTCTGGCCAGCTCCTTGCAGGTTGCCCTGGTCACAGAGCCTCCAGAAATGATACCAGTTCTTTGAGCCACCATATCAGAGACTTTGGACTTAAGCCATCCTCGAGCTTCTCATGTACTTCCTGGGCCTGTTGGGGTGTTGCAGTCTCGCCCGTACTAGTGGCCCACACAGGTCCATAGGCCAGGATGACCTTGCTCTAGTCCTTCACATTATCTGTGATGACTTTGTCTGCTGGAAAACAACCTTCTCAGTGATGCCAGCTTCCTTTTCATCTAGCTTCTTTCCACTGCAGGAGATTACCCTCTGCCAGAGCCCGGGCCACTCTCTGCCCAGTCAGCTCATCTGACTCCCCCAAGACATGCCTTCTCTCTGAGTGCCCCAGGACCACACCATCCACGTGGCTCTGCAGTCTTTGATCATGCCAGGGTTGATCTCCCCAGTAACAGCCCCATTAGTCACTTTGTAGCAGTCTGGGCAGCCACAGCAATCTTGAGATCTAGCTTCTGCCAGGCAAAGTCGATATAGGCAGTGGGGGAAGCACAAATTACCTCAGTGTCGGTAGGCACTGTGACCGCATTCTGAGTGCGGATGAGCTCTCCCAGACACCACTTCTGCCCGTTCATCTTCCAGTTTCTCCCCACGAAGAACTTCCTGGAGGGCATCATGGCGCTGGAGCCATGGTCAGTGTCAGTGCCTAAAATGGGTTTTATTAATAGTTGGTAAGGCTGTTAGGGGGATTAAATGAGATCTTGTAACTACAGTGTTTTACACATTGTGAGCATTTATCAAATAGCAGTTATTTACTAGTGCACATACTGTTACCTTTTGTCTCCAATTTCTCCATAGCACAGTTTCCAAGATTTCTATTTTCTTTTGTGAATTATTAGACACTAGTTTTGGATTCCGACAGAAAGGCAGTCACAAAAATACCGTTTAATGTGAGAATAATCCTACAAGATGTATGCAAAATGCTCTGGAGTTAGAGCACCAGGAACTGTAAGCAGAAAGAAAGACCTCCTCTGGGCTTAAGACTTAATAAAGCGGAGCTGAACAGATATTCTAGGCATTTCTCTATGTGGCACATATTTCAGGCTTGTAAAACAGTTCCGTTGACTACGTGTCTGTCTCCTTCACTAGAGCCAGCGTAGGAACCACGTCTTAAGTCATCTTTGGATCT